AAATTGATGGTCCAAAAATATATTACAAAATATACTATTTTCAAATCTTGAAATCTATTTTTTCTCATGTCCATGCATCTTGATGTCGAGATGATCAATTCGAAGATATTTGGGCATCAAAACAATCTCTTCTAATGAAAATTTTGAGGTAGGCTCGAATTTGATTGGTTAGAGCCTTAGCTCTATAAAAACTTTTTCATATATATATATATATAAAGGAAAAAGATTCAATAGGCCTGCTCGCGTATTTGCATTTGTATGCCAACCGCTACGATTTTCCATTTCCCTAGATGGAGATCTCGCGGTCCCCGATAGAAGCAGTGGCCATCTGATATTTGCAGGGACGTCTCGACAGGCGGCGTCTTTCACGACGTCTCTCTCCCCTCTCTCTATCTGTCTCTCAAGATTACATCTGCAGGGACGGCTCGACAGGTCTCGTTGGGGATCGATGGCAACTCTCTCTCTCTTCTCCAACTCTTTCTCTCCTACTGTCTCTCAGAAGTAATGATGTTACCCCTCGCTCCGCCCAACTCTCTCTCTCTCTCTTCTCAATCTATCTCGCCCTCTCTAATCTCCCTCTTTGCTGCTGCAAACCTCTATCAGAGATTGGGCAACCCAAACTATGTCGGCGCTCAATCAATCTCCCTCTTTGTTGCCCCATTGATGCTGCCCCATTGCTGCCACCAAAAGTATATCGCCTCTCACTCAATTTCCCTCTTTTTGCCTCATTGCTGCTGCCCTCTTTCAATCTCTCTCTCTCTCGCTGGTGCCTCACTGTTTCCATTGCCGTTGCGCCCTTGCTCGATTGGGGCAATCTTTGGAATTTGAGATTTATCCAAGGTTCAGGTATGTATCTTTGCCCCATTTTGATTGAAATTGTGGTGGGCAATGAAGTGCAGCTTGTTTCATCCCTCGAATGGTATTCCACTATCACCTTGTGGATACTAGAGTTCTATGTGCATGTATTATTGTTTCTGATAGAAGAATGCATTAGTTTCTGGATCTTAGAGGATGTGAGATGTATCTGAGATGATGCAGGAACGGGGAGAAATATGGGGTTGGGTTAATTTGATTGCTGGATATATTTGAAACCAAATTATCTTATTTGTGCCTAACTTAGAAAAACTCCATTAGTTGAATGTTTGTATAAGTGCTGTGTGTGCGTGCGTACTAGTTGGTATGGGGTACATATGGATGAATGTGCCCCATGTTATGTTATTTTTAGAAATGGAAATTCGTGTGAAATTTTCATTGCAGAGAGTATATGAATGCGGGTTCATGGGGTTATACCGAAATGCAAGTGTTTGTATAAGTGCGGTGTGCGCGTGCGTACAAGTTGTTGTGAGGTACATATGGATGAATGTGCCCCCTGTTATGTTATTTTTAGAAACGGAAATTCGTGAAAAATTTTCATTGCAGAGAGTATATGAATGCGGGTTCATGGGGTTATACTGAAATGCAAGTGTTTGTATAAGTGCAGTGTGTGAGTGCATACTAGTTGGTGTGGGGTACATATGGATGAATGTGCCCCCTATTATGTTATTTTTAGAAATGGAAATTCGTGAAAAATTTTCATTGTAGAGAGTATATGAATGCGGGTTCATTGAGTTATACTAAAATGTAATCCAGTTTGTTGCTTAAATATGAGTATAGTTATGTTATTCTTTTGTGACATTTGTATATAGTGTTTTGATAGAACAACTCAATTGATTTTTTCAAATAATATTTGCAATCATCTACATATGTGGTTTGGCTTTTTATGTAGGGTCAGTTGAAAGATTTACATGGGCCCCACCGTATCTGTCGGTGCAACATCTTCCCTATGCCCAATTGTAGACAAAACAAATGACACGATTGTCACCATGGAGCAGGTTCCTTATCTTACAAAAATGCAAGATGGGGAACATGGCTCATCAACCAAGGGCCTACAAAATAGAAGAACCATATATAGGGATGAAGTTTGGTTTTGAGAATGAGGCATATGAGTATTATAAGGAGTATGCATTATCCAAAGGTTTTGGTGTCCGTAAGGCGACTACCCACAATAAAGATGGTCAAAGGATAGATAGAGAGCTCAATTGTTCTAAGGATTCGTCGAGAGAAAGATTGGGTAGGTGAAAAGGTACAGCCTGAATCAAGGTGTGGTTGTATGGCTAGGATGGGCCAAAGTAGAAATGAAAATAATGAGTGGGTTGTGACTAGGATTATTACGAAACACAATCACGATCTTTTGTCTCCAAGAAAAGCTCGTTTAATTCTTTCACATCGAACATTGTCAGGCATTGCCGAGTTGATGATAGGTTCAATGAGCTCGGCATTGGTGAAGGCCAGAAATATTCATGACATTTTCATGGAGCAATCTGGAGAGATTGATAATGTTTATTGTATAAAAAAAGGCATCCAAAATGTTATGACCAGCTCCAGAAGAAAAGTAAGAGGAGAAGATGGAAGTCTTGTTAAGCAATGGCTTTAAAAAATGAAAGAATTGAACCCATTGTTTTTTTATAAAGTGAAATTAGATGAAGACAATCACATCTTGAGTGTCTTATGGGTAGATGCCTTTTCTAGAGTTTCGTACCAGTGCTTCTCTGATGTGGTAACTTTTGATACAAAATACAAAACAAACACCTACGGTATGCCATTTGAACCCATTATTGGTGTAAATCACCATCACAATACAACTTTCTTTGGATTTGCGCTCATTTTTAATGAGAATGTAGAATCATTTGTATGGATATTTAAAAATTGGTTAGAAGCTATGGGGGGACGTCATCCTGGAGTTATTCTCATTGATCAAGACCATGCAATTTCAAATGCAGTGAGACGAGTTTTAGACCAAAGTAAGCATCATTATTGTAAGTGGCATATGCTATCAAAAATTAAAGAAAAAATGTGCCATGTCTTGCGCATGCATCCAATTTTTTCAAAAACCTTCAGGAGGTGTGTGGCTAGTGCAACAGTGGAAGAATTTGAATTGGGGTGGAAAAATATGATTGAGAATTATGGCCTGGAAAGTAATGAGTGGCTTACTAGGCTCTATAGTTGTCGCATGCAATGGGTGAATGCATACTTGAGTGACATGTTTATAGCGGGTATGACTTCCACTCAAAGGAGTGAAGAGATGAATAAGTATTTCAACATGTACGTAGCCTCTTCAACAAGCTTACGTACGTTATTAGAAGTGACGACAAAGGTGCAAGATAAGAAGGTGCGAAAGGAAAGGGAAAATGACTTAAGAGACATTGATACTACTCCAATATTGAGAACAACTTCTTTTATTGAGGCTCAGGCAGCAAAGATCTAGACGTAAAAGATTATGAAGCTATTTGGGGAAGAGGTGCTGAATGGTATTAATTTGATGAGTGAGCCAATTGAGGACAACAGATTGCTTGCCACTTTTAAGGTGGCAATACCAAGAAGTGAATCTAGACACTACTTTTGAATTCAATTCTTATGACAATAGCGTTTGTTGCAACTGTCACTTATATGAGAGGATGGGTCTTCTTTGTAGGCATGTGTTGAAGGTTTTTATGGTGAAGAATGTATTTGAAATACCCCCACAGTACATAATGAGGAGTTGGAGAAAGGATATAAAAAATGGGGTTTCAAGAAACATCTCAACTACCACACTCCATTCGATATAACGAGGTCTATCAGGCAACTCAATACCTATACGAGCGTACTTCAGAGAGTGCAGAGCTCCATGAATTTATAATGGCCATAATACACAGCAGAATTTGTCAGGTTGATAGCCGATTCTGGCGTAAGGGAGGTCCACAGAATGATGCCACAATCAATTGTTATGCTGAAGAGTATGGTAATGTTGAAGCAAATGCTAATATCGATGAGAATGCAGCTAGTTGTAGTGACACACCAATTGAAAGTGAACATTGCCAAAATATCCTTGAGCCTCCACGAGCACGGACAAAGGGAAGACCTACCAATAAAAGAAAGAAAGCTCGATCAAAAGGGTGGAAGCCGAAAAAATACCAATAAGTCGAAGGAAAAGACCAAGAAGTGCGCAATGTGCAAGTGCAGTGGGCACGACAAAAGAAATTGTTCGTCATTCATTCATGCAAAGTAGTAATGCATAGCATTAGTATCTCTTGAATTTTCATTGTACCAGCTTCTTAATTTTGGATGTGGTAGAGCTTACTTATAATTGTAGAAATTTTAAATGTAATATGAAATACTAACAGTGAAAATTCATCTTAAGGAGCACTATGAATTGTAGTGATTGCTTGCTTGTTGTATAGTGATTAATTGCAGGGATTGGTTTTGACGTTGTGGATATTGTTGAATAGCATTAGTATCTGTTTCTTTTTGGTTTGAAATGAAAATGCTTGAAAATGCTGTGAAATCTGTTTGAAATGAAAATGCTTGAAATGAACTCTGTTTGTAAGTTGCGTACAAGTTTTCTAAGTGTCAATGGTTCATTGGTTTGAAATGAAAATGCTGTGAAATCTTTGTTTCACTGGCATAACACAATTTCCACCCTCGATTGACCTATAATTATGCCTATTTGATCTAGTGAGAAAAATACTACCGTCTTTTCCAACATTTTCGTAGTTCTATTTTGCTGATGGAAATTTTAGTTTGACTTTGACTCTCTTGAGCTGAATTTCTGAGTGGCAATAGGGGCTATGTTAACAGGCTTCTGAACATTGCATTGAGTGATTGACTCTATGCTATGGACATATTGAAATCAATTCAAGTTGGGTAATAAGTTGGGATTTGTGAGAGGATGTTGTGCTTCCTTTAGAGGAGAAATAAGTTACAATTTGTGATAAGATGCTATCTTTAGAGGGGACATTGATCAATTCTTTTTGTAGAGATAGTGATTCTACAACTCTAGCCTAGGCCAAGAGTGTCTGCCCGAAGTTAGAACCCTTGTCCTTCAAATGTGAGAACATTAAACAAACACTTGCATGCAGGTAATAATCAAAGACCATGCAGCAGTAGTGGCAAATGATATAATATGTCTTAAATAATTAAAGTGACAAGCTGATTCTATATTTCATAGTTTATCATTGATATTGAACGACTAATGCTTGCAACAACTCTGATTTCAGGTGTTGAAAACCATTCCATTAGAGGCTCTCAAGGGATGCAGGCTGGTTTTCAGTCGAATTTTCCCAACCAATAGCAGAATATCTTGGAGCATCATGCTCCAAAGAGATCGATGAAGCAGTCACTCATGTGGTTTTTTTCATTAGTATTTTTTTTGGTATGAAACGTGATTGATCCATGTTGCACAATCTCTTTGTAAAATGATTGTGCTTTATTTAAGGGTAATGTAGGAATTTTGAAGAGATATGGTTTATGTGGGTATGTGTAACCCTTTTGGGGTTTTCTTGGGTTTCATTAGTTTTGTTTGCTCTGGGGATGCTGTGCTAAATAACACGTTGTGGATTTCTCATGTACCTGCTGTCTAACCTAGTATCGACCATTGCATATATGGTGTTGCCCTGCACTAACATTTGGAAATGAGCAGAAAGAGATTTCTTTAGATAGCCTTCTCAATATTGAAGTGAGCAGCAAGAGTTGTACCATGTGTTTCCTATCTTCTTTTGGCCATGCCTTCTTCACCCTTTATCCTCAATATTGAATGTGATTGAGATGCATATCAGCATTCTATAGGTACATTACTCAACATTCATTACAAGGTGTTAGTATACCAAATCCTCAATATTGAATGTGATTGAGATGCATATCAGCATTCTATAAGTATGTTTTCTATGTATACCATGCAACAGTGGTGGTAGATGATATAGTATGTCATAAATACTTAAAGTGACAACCTGATTCTATATTTCACAGTTTATCATTGATATTGAATGACTAATTCTTGTAACAACTCTGAGTTCAGGTGTTGAAAACCATTCAGTTAGAGGTTCTCAAGGGATGTAGGTTGGTGTTCAGTCGATTTTTCCGAACCAATAGAAGAACAGCTTGGAGCATCATGCTTCAAAGAGCTCGATGAAGCAGTCCCTCATATGGTTTTGCTCGATTTAGGGATTGAGAAGGCTCGTTGGTCTTTACTGCGAAAGAATGGAGGAGTATCTTATTCATGTTTTTTTTCTTTAGTATTTTTTTGGAATGAAACATGATTGATCCATGTTACACAATCTCTTTATAAAATGATTGTGCTTTATCTAAGGGTAATGTAGGAATTTTAAAGAAATATGGTTTATGTGGGTATGTGTAACCACTTTTGGGGTTTTCTTGGGTTTCATTAGTTTTGTTTGCTCAGTAGATATTGTGCTTTGAGATGATGGGAATGTGTAAACTTGAAGGGAGTAATGAAAACAAAAGTGGGGATGTTGGATTACATCAGTTTGTAATTGCAAAAGTATTGCTTGATGATGATGCATACACCAGGACATTAGAATGTGATATTGTTCTTCTCTCTCTCTCTCTCTCCCTCTCTTTGTATGTGTGTGCGCACTTCACATGTGCATGAACATGCATATTTGGATACTTTAGAATCTCTATTTCAATTACATGTATAATTAGATATAGTTTGAAGTGAAGACGTGGGAAGTAGGACATAACATATGTGTTTTAATTGTGCTTGGGAAGCAGGAAGGAAGTGTCTCGTAATGGCCCTGGGGAAGTACATGTACTCTTCTTCTTTACTTTTCAAATACAAAATATTTTTTTTCGAGAGAATTACTTGTCAACAACAAAATATCTTCTAATGGTTTTGTGGCTTCCTTCTTGGTAGGAAATTGAGAAAGTGAAGACTGATAAGAATGATAGGCTCTATTAGGATGTGAAGATTTTGAAATATTTTTGTCCATTCAAATGCCATTCACATTTTTTTCCATTCAATATTTTTGTCCATTCAAATGCCATTAACATTTTTGTTCATTCAAATGTCTTTCACATTCAAATCCCATTCAATATTCTTTTCCATTCAAAATGCCATTCATATTCAAATGCCATTCACATTTTTATCCATTCAAATGCGATTCATATTCAAATCCCATTCAATATTTTTGTCCATTCAAATGCCATTCACATTTTTATCCATTCAAATGCCATTCATATTCAAATCCCATTCTGTATTTTTGTCCATTCAAATGCCATTCAAAATTCCATTCACATTTTTCTCCTTTCAAATGCCATTCACATTCAAATTCCATTCAAAATGCCATTCACATTTTTATCCATTCAAATGCCACTATATTTTTGTCCATTCAAATCCCATTCAATATTTTGTCCATTCAAAATGCCATTCACATTCAAATGACATTCACATTTTTATCCATTCAAATGCCATTCTATATTTTTGTCCATTCAAATGCCATTCACATTTTTGTCCATTCAAATGCCATTCACATTCAAATCCCATTCAATATTTTGTCCATTCAAAATGCCATTCACATTTTTATCCATTCAAATGCCATTCACATACAAATTCCATTCAATATTTTTGTCCATTCAAATGCCATTCACATTTTTCACCATTCAAATGCCATTCACATTCAAATCCCATGCAATATTTTTGTCCATTCAAATGCCATTCACATTCAAATTCCATTCAATATTTTTGTCCATTCAAATGTCATTCACATTCAAATGCCATTCACATTTTTGTCCATTCAAATGCCATTCTAACCATATTAGAATACATCACCAAACAAAAAAATAATAATAAACTGAACTACATTTGTAATGATACCATGAAACAAATGCCCATTCCTTTCAAAAGAAAAAGAATGGCGAACATCAACATGTAAGAACAATTGCGCTTATAATAATAAATTTTACATGGCTACTTTCTCAGGGACCATAGCAATAACTTTGGGCTTCTCTTTTTCATATAGAACATGATGTGCTCCATCAGTGACACAAACATCTGTCCTCTGTGACACGAACCTTCTGACCATGGGTTTTATATCTTGGCCTAGGATCTCGTCACACCCCACTAGATGCCCGCATCCCACTTCATTCTAGTAGTTAACACAAACATATAAAAGGTTTTAGGTTTGTGCTTACAATTAAACAGTAATGTGCTTTTACATTATTTTCATGAATGAATGTCACATACCTTCCAGTTGGAGCATTTGTAGAAAGACCTATTGTAGTTATCTCCTGTTTTTGCAATAAATACGCGCATTCAACGACATTGTGGTCTGTGTTTATAAACTAATGGTGGGAATTGATTATCGAGATTCATTCTGCATAGAAGTGACAAGAGAACCATGAAGAACTTCATCATTAGCATTCTAAAAACAAAAAAAAAAAACACACTATTTGAAAATTGACACTATGTGAAAATTCATTACAACCATATGAAACACAAACCCATAAATTCATGTATAAAGCTCTCAACACTTTACAATGTAAAATAATAATGTTACAATGTCAATTGATGATGTGTGGAGATAGTAGAAAACTGGTACATGTGTTCATATTAGATATAGATTATTCAAGTCTAATTCTCTACCCTAACCTATTATGAATTCGATCAGTAAGAAGTATACACTTGTTCTTCAGAACCCAGAATACTGCTTAACTTGAAAGATCATGTATGCAAGTTAATTTTTTTGCATTTTTAAATTGCCTATGGTAGATATAGCTGCTATCCAAGCAGCAACCTCATAATCGCCACTTCAAAGGCCAGGCTATATGGAAATTACCAAATTTTGGAGTGTAACTCGAGAAACACATAAAATAATTGTATGAATGACATAGAATACATTGGCATAGTACATGCAGGTTCCATGCAAATTTTTCAAATAATTGTAAGTTGTTATTAACCAGCTGATGACAAAATGAATATTTCCTCACGAGGTAGAACAAAACCAAAAAAATCATAATCAGTTTATACGTAATGCAAGTTAAAGGTACCAAAATTGAGATTTTCATGAAAAATAGTATGATGAGAATGATACAACAATACAAATTAGAGAAATAGGACCTATATCTCCTTAAATTTTCTATAATTCAGGAAAAAGGAAACTTTTTTCATACCAGACCCAAATAAAAAAGGAAACTTTTTTCATCATATTGAGAACGAATTTTAGAGTAAACCTTATGATAAGCACAGAGACAACCAAAACACCCAAAACCCAAAACAAAAGATTGATATCACTTGTAAAAATCAAAATAGCGCACCAACATAGTATCCTAAAAAAATAAAGATTAAAAACAAACACTAAAATAGATTCAAAGATATGCTAAAAACATAAAGAAATTCACTTTAGAAATAAAACTAAAAAAGTAATGGGGAAAAGATTCAAAGATAGCATACATAAACCTCGGGTGAACCTCAAATCTACTGAAGATTGCTCGATCATCTTTGCAGCAGCAATGGAGCACAATTTTTTTTGAAATTTCAGAAATTTTCTATATTTTAGGTTGTATTTGTAGAAAGAGAGGGGCATAGAGGGAGATTGAGAGAGTGCGGACCCAAAAAGAACTTGATGGAGGTTAATAGCAGAGGAGTCACAAAGGTTTGTTAATCATAAACTTCATGCATTCTGACTAAATCTTGGTGTGGTCTCAATTCATTCTTGTAGTTCAATTGAAATTGTAATACATTAATATTGTGTACAAAATTGATACGAACATAGTTTCTTGCTCTGTATCCATTCACAGCGACACATTGAATGACCGAAAAACAAAAACCCCCCAAAACCAAAATGGAACAAACAAAATCGAAATGCAATAATTAAACAATAGCATACCTGAACCTTAGATGAGCCTCAATCTAACGAAGGTTGTCTCAATCGTCTTTGCAGCAGCAATAGAGCATAGAAAATTTGGGAAATTTCAAAAATTTTCAGTGTTCTAGGTTATATTTCTAGAGAGTGAGAGGGGCATAGAGGGAGATCGAGAGAGAGGGGCAGCGAGAGATGTATTGAGAGGGGCAAAGAGCAGTAGCGGGGAGAGAGATTGAGAGAAAGGGGCGGGTTTCAAAGAGATTGCGAGGGTTTGAGAGATAGGCCAGTGAAGGGGCAGCAGGCGAGAGAGAGAGAGGTTCCCTCAAGTTTGATGGAGAGAGAGAGGGTGGGAGATTGGCAGCAGGAGAGAGAGAGAGGGGTGGAAGAAGGAGGAGAGATGGAGGGTGGGAGAGTGGCAGTAGGAGAGAGAGAGGGGTGGAAGATGGAAAAGAGCGAGAGAAGGTGGGAGAGTGGCAGCAGAAGAGGAAGAGTTACTTGGAAGATTGAGAAGAGAGAGAGAGGGTGGGAGAGGAGAGAGAGATACCATCGTGAGAGACAGGAGAGAGAGAGTGAAACACGTGACATGTGAAGCCTAGTGCAAATGTCAGTGGTTACTGTAGCTTGAGGGACATATTGAAGGAGCATTGGGCATGGCGAGATCTTCTTCGCGAGATGTACACCGTTGGCGTATGAAGTTCATATACGCGAGCAGGCATATGAAATCGTTTTTTTATATATATATATATATAGTAATGATTTTATAAGACCTTTTCTCGTTTTTTATATATATATATATATAGTAATGATTTTATAAGACCTTTCCACATCTATGTGTGTAGGATCTCAATTGATCGCCATTAAATTTGGTACAGATCTCTAGAAAAATCAAGTCCTATATCCATGTGATAATTTTTTTAGCGATCTGTGACAAATTTAATGGTGATCCTACACATATGGGTGTGGGAGGGTCTCATGGATCATTACTTAATGGTAATCATTTGGGGTCCTACACACAAAGACACTCTACAAATAAATTTTTAGGACACTCACTTCTAAAATGCCATTGTACTTTTGTGAAAATTTGCCATTGTACTTTTGTGAAAATTTCAAATTTGCTTTTGCTTAATGGTAAAGTTACCTATTTAAATAATGTTTTAATAAAAAAATAATAATTGTTTTGATAAATACACCCATCACATCCCCTTCTAACTTGAACCTTTATATTTTAAGGGGATGGTAACTCTAGATAAACCCATATATATATATATATATATATGGAAAAGGATAGTATACGCAAGCTCGCGTATTCAATTGAAATACGCCAACGGTGATTAAGAGATAGTCATGGAATGAACGACGGGGAATATTGTTGCAAAATTCAAAACGTTACGCCTTCTCTCTCTCCTGACAGCTGACATATGACAATTTTTTCTCTCACTTAAAAACTCTCTATCTCTCATTAAAATACCTGGAATGTCGTGCTTTTCCTCCTCTCTCTCTCCCCTGTGCCTGCCTCTTCCTCTCTCTCCGCTGTGCATGCAGCACTACCATCGCCCAGCATTGCCTCCATTCTTTCAAAACCCTCGCCTTGCCTCTTCTTCTCTCTCTCTCTCGCCCTCTCCCCTGTGCTTGTGGCACAACCATCGCCCAGGCTGCTGCAACCTCCAACCTTTGTAAACCCTCGTTCTGCGTGCAATACCATTGAACTAGGTATGCTCCTCCTCTTTCTTTCTTTCTCTCTCTCTCTCTCTCTCTCTCTCTCTCTCTCAATAGAGAACTCAGGCTGTACTTATTTGAGGTATAAGCATTGGAGCCATAGCTACACTTTTCTGCACTGTCTCTATCTCTCAAGATTTGTTTTGGGTATATTTAGGGTATAGGCATTGGAGCTATAGTGGCACTTTCCTGCACTTTTTCTGTCTCTCTCTCAAGATTGTTTTAGCTATATTTGGGGTATAGGAATTAGAGCCATAGCGGCACTTTCCTACACTTTCTCTGTCTCTCTCTCTCAAGATTTTTTTGGGAATATTTGGGGTATAAGCATTGGAGCCATAGCTGCACTTTTTGTACTTTCTCTCTCTTTCTCTCTCAAGATTTTTTGGGTATATTTGGGGTATAAGCATTGGAGCCATAACTGCAATTTCCTACACTTCATCTCTCTTTCTCTCAAGATTTTTTTTGGGTATATATGTTTTAACCTTGCAGTGATCCCAACGACCTGAATTTTTTTGGGTATATATGTTTCATTTCTTTTGAGTGTATGGACATGTGGGAATATTGCTTCTTCTTTCAATTTACATGGCTAGCACTGGTGGGTCGATAGACAGTAAGCTTAAGGAACTTATGGTTGTGATACTCAAAATTGGTTTTGGTTTTTTTAACACTTTCAACAATAGGGTTTACTTGGGTTATCACACTCCAACACAGCGACTGACAATGATGGAAGGGGAAAAGTTACAACTAATTTAATGATTTGTTTCATGGAACCACCATTCATTTGTTCCGATGATTATATGGATTATACTCCCAAGTTCTAGATACTTAACATCTAGCTGATATCTATTTATGCTTTTATTCCTAAATTGGCTAGAGTCTTGAACATCAGACTGATTTCCAGTTTTTCTTCTATTGTCTGGCCTTGGTTTGGATACTCAAGAGGTCAAGAGTTTTCATGAATCGATTCTTATAAGTGCACAGAAAAGAAAAAGTTACCGTGTTCCGCCCAAGAGGAGCCTTGAGCACAAGATTTCAGTGGGAAGAAACCTGTCGATTAGGGATATGAGAAGATAGAAAAGGCAAGAGAGAAGGGTTGGGTATAGCTTAGACCCTGGAAGAGTATTTCTTTTTTTTCTTTGTGTATTCTAGGAAAATCACACGATTTCTTTTATTTGTTAATTTCAAGAAGTCCACACTCTCTGATATAAAATGTATGGTGAAGAGTTGCTTTGCTTGTAATTTGAATCTTCTGGTTTAGTTTGTGACCTGATATGTGCACTTGCTAAGATAGAGCCTAACTACTGTTGTTGGCAGTGCCGGTTAATATGGAAAGTGTACACTGAGTTATGCTCGAGTGTGATGCACCCCATTAACATATTTGAAAACAATGTTTTCTAGTGCTTGGCTTGGGGAATTGTTCACATTGTATTGAGGATTAGGAACCTTTTTTAATTTAGTTTTTCTTTTTTTACTCTTTTTTTTTGTGTTTTGGGGGGTTGTTCACATTCTCTCTCTCTATCATTCACAATTTTATGTTCTAATTGGTGTAGGTGGGAAGATGGCAAGTTCATCCAATACCATGACATATCCAGACAAGAATTGTAGAAATTGTGGCCACAAATGTGAGATCTGTACATTTAGAAACGAACAAAATCCAAACAGGGAGTACCTTAAGTGCAAATCATGTAATTTATGGAATGGGTGGGTCGTTATGCACCTCTAATACTCCCAAAACTGCAATATATTGGAGCCAACGATATCCAACTTCGAGTCATTGATCAAGTTATTAGAGAACCAACAACGTTTGACTGCCCAAGAGAATTTTGAGAAGTGTGTAATTTTATTCATTTTAGCTTGGAGTTTAATATTTCATATTGTATATTTCTTTCTCCTTATACAAAAGGTGTAAGGTGTACTTCTCCAACTTAGTCGTAAATAAACTACATTTTGCATTAAAAAAAAGCAATGGGTCTTTCATTCTTTTGGTCTCAAAGTTACTCATGCAGAGGTCCCTAACTCTAAGCATTCGTGAAATTCATTCTGAACCCTATAGGAAATGCACGTGGGTCTGATCGTGGGGATCTCATTAGCATCTATATGAGTAGGACAGGGTACTTGAAGTCACTGTGGTTTATCTATTGAAAATTTGAAGTATCAAAGAGTTTATCATAGGAACATAATTGAAAAGTTGAGTATTAATGAGATACTTCCGCTGAAAAGTCTCATATCCCCATGGAACATATTTGAAATCCAATGTCTGTGCAAAATACTTAATCATAATGTACATTCTCACTTGAATAGCTAATAGTTGGCTTCAAAAGTTCAGGTTTAGTAAGCGAAAAAGGGAAGGGAGGGGAAAATCAGCTTTTTATTTAGTCATTTGTAATATCTTTATTGAAAGTTCTACAGAAAATACACAGTTTGTTCTACAAAAAATATGCAGTTTGCAATATCTTTATTGAAAGTTCTACAAAAATCCAGGCTTCTATTTAGTCATTTGCAATATCTGGGAACAATGGCCATTCCACAAAACATTGTAACTTTCATCAATTTAAGGCATTATTTTGCTTGGTCTCATTGTGTGCATGTGTGTATGTAAGACAGAGATAAAATATGTGAAAAAGAGATGAGAGAGAGAGAGAAAAAATTTGTCATTGTTAGAGGAGGCAAGTTGCGGGCTCATGGCCTTTGGAAGCATATATTCCCCCACTTGAGAGGGCTGGAATCCAGGCCTCTCTCCCTTAACGTGGCATCAACCTTATAACTGGTGCCCTCTGGGTGGTGTCATATGGAGGTCCTTCTTTCTCTTTGCACCCTAGAAATACTGTTTGCTAGGGGAGGAAGCGATATCACCTCTCTCTCTCTGTAGCTGCTGAGATGAAGTGGGTGCATGCATTTTGCCTTCTGGTGCTTCTCCTTTCTGCTGCATCTCTCCACTTGAGTTATGGGAGAAACATGGGCATCAACGATAGTAAAGAGCCAAATGAAGATGTGAGAGTTACGAAGGTCGGAGAAAGAGCCCTCACAAGCCCCTTGCTTTGGTGGAATGGGAGGATGATTTTCGCCCCACTAACCTTGGTCACAGCCCTGGCATCGGCCATCGCTGAGGGGCGAAGATGTGCTTCTCTCCACTGCTCTCTCTCTCTTTTCCTTCAACTAGTGATACAATAGTGATACAATGTTAGATGCAGTGTCGTGGGTCCTGGTAATAGAAGAAAGGGAATAAATGGACTTTCTCTTCGCTGATAAATAACTGCTGAATTTTACTTTCATTGCTAGAATTTGATTGTTTTCATTTGCATGGGTGTTTTTCATAAAACACGAGTTTGAGATATAGGGAGAGAGCGGTGGGGAGGAGCACATCTTCACCACTCGGCGATGGCCAACTCCAAGGTTGTGTCCAGGGACGGATGGGGCAAAAATCGTCCTCCCATTCCACCAAAGCACGGGGCTTGTGCGGGTGTTTTATCCAACCTTCATCACTCACTTCCTGTTCTTCATTTGGCTCTTTACTCTCGTTAAAATGGATGTTTCTTCCTTCACTCAAGTGAAGAGATGCAGGAGAAAGACGCACCAGAAGGCAAAATGCATGCACTAGTAATAAGGGTCATGCCATTTTGAGGGAGAGAACCTTGGATTCCGGTCCTCTCAAGTGGGGGA